ATGTGTTATGTACATATACCAACTCCCTGTGATGAATATAATCATTATGTACTCCAAACATGTACTAAGAAAAATTAAAAGGGTGAATTTTACGATATGTAAATTCTATCTCAATAAAACTGTTTAAAACAAACATTTACTTTACCCATAGTTTAGATATTTATCAGCTGTTAAAGTGCCACAATTTATTTTAAAGATATGTCAAGATAGCAATGATTTGGAAAAATAGCAAGATAATCTTCTTCTAAATTATAAATCAGTTTTAATGTGAACATTCTGCTCTGAAGTTCTAAAAGTATATAATAAGCTCTCCTTAAAATATATATAACATTATTTGAATAGATAAAGCAGTATATAGTTTTATGGCTCTGGTTGTAGTTCCGTTGTAGAATGATTGCCTAGTAATTGTGAGACCCAGAGTTTGATCATCAGCACTGAAATAAAAAACATTAAACATAAATGTTTCATGATTCCATCAGAGAAAAAATAATTGGGAGATAAAAATATTTTATGTATAGTCTGAAGTTTCCAAGTAGCTCAGAACTATGCAGTGCATATCTGCTACTTAAAGAATTAAATATATTAACACTTTCAAAGTATTTTATTCTGGTTGCCTGATTACTGTTTATATTTAATTAAATTTCTCTCACCTTGAGCCTATTAAAATATATACAATATTGAATAAGACTTTAATGGACCTCAGGTGCACAAAATTGCAATAATCTTTTTTTCTAATTAGAAATTATCAAAATTCAGTTTTACTAAAGAAATATTTGCCACATAAGTATGTAACATGTATATATCATTCATACTCATATATATCTATAATACACTCATATATACATATATAAATTTATGTGTATTTATGAATTATTTAAATTCACCTCTCATACAGCATTTATAATTTTAATTTGTTAATATATTTCAAGTCAATAAGGTAAGGTGTACATGAATTGAATTTGGATTTCAAAATTCTACATTTTATTTCAGATCACCTCTATGTGAACACATACATCTCAATTTCTCCAAAGTTCTTCAGCTTTCCACAATTCAAAATGAATATTTTCAATTTAAAAAATGTTTTTCAAAACAAAACCTTGCATTTTAGAGATTTTTATAGTTCTAAAGCAATTTTATTAATATATAATTTACATAGTTTTGAGCACACATGCCCATGAATTTTGATAAATATACATACCTGAAAATGTCATCCCAATGAAGACGCAGCACCTTCCAATAGTCATTAGAAATGTCTGTGTCCTTTTCAGTCAACCCCACCGCCCACCAGACCCAGACAATAACCTATTGGCTTTCCTGACACTGTATGTTAGGATGGTCTTTTCTTGAATTTTATACAATGGAATCACAGAGTCTGCATTTTTTTCTGAATCTGGCATTTTCTACTCTCAACATAATGTTTTTGGAGTTCATGGCATTTTATTGTAGGCATCAGTAATGCATTCTTTTTCATTGTTTAAATATAGCAACACATTTTATTTGCTTACCTGAAAAATAACAGATTTTCTCTTATGTTTTCAGTAGAGTTTTTTTCCCACTTTATTTAGTGTCATGTGTGAATGCTATTCACAATGAGATCCTGTTTATCACTAATTTATCTCTGAAGATACAAATTGAATTGAAAGTCCTAATCCTTTGGAAGATATTACTGACCATATGATCACATATTTATTACAATAGGGTACTGAATTTTATCTAATAAAAGGAGCTAAGGATGTTACAAATATGTAGGAGCATTGGAGTGGATGTTACATCTGTCAGCTACACTTCACTCCAAGTCTTTTCTCTTCCTGTTGGTACTGCTGCTTGGTGAGGAATCAGAGCAACACATGTGTCTAGGACATGCTCTTCGAGGGAACTGTGAACTCTGATGGTACACAATATTCTGTACCATTGACTGAGAAGAGCCAGTGTATAATCATCAGACAGCAACTGGAAACAGTTGCCAAATTTGTAAAACAGAGGTATTATTTTGCAGGGATTTTGTCATAAATTTAAATATCTCAGTCCAAAACTTACAAGTAATTAATATTTAGTAGAAATTCTACCTTCTGTGAAAGAATAGATTCCTCTAGGCAGCTGAAAACAGGTATTTGAGTTGTTTTGTTTTTTGTGCCCTTTAAATTTCTTTATTTGCTCATTCATTTGTCCATGTTCTTGTTGTGTTAGGTTACTTGACTTTTTGACACTTCTTGCTGTTTGTCTGCTTTTCTTTTCCCTACATTTTATTTTTCTTGCTGCCTGTCAGTTCTTTCTCCTTACTACTGTGGTCAGTTGTACATTACGTTCTCCAAACCTTACTCCAAAGCTAAATAAATAAACACAAATAAATAAATACACACATAAATAAATACACACATAATATACACAAGAGAAATGGCAATCATTATTCTCTTCTAATGTTTGAGATCACCTCTTTTTTTTTTTTTTTGGTACCAGGGATCGAACTTGTGCTTATGAGGCAGGCGCTGGAACCACTGAGCTAAATCGCCAGCCCTGAGATCAACTCTTTTAGATTCCATATAAATTCAAGACATCATATTGTACACAATAAATACATACTAATTTTCTTATCGATTTAAAAAGAAAGAAAAAAAGAAAACCATAGGACTAATGGGAGAAATGGGGTGTACAGCCTAATATTTAAATCTTTATTATCACATGACAAAGCTAAAATTAATAAAACTGCTTATATAATTTCACAAGACATGTTATATGGGTAAGATAAGAACTAAGAGAGAGAGGTGGCTTTTCTACTGTGAAAAGGATATGAAATTTGTTGGAAAATGTGGGTGTCAGAAGGGTTAAAGGCTTTCGTTTATTGTGAAGTGGTGAATGAAGAGGTACCTAAGATCAGTAAGAAAGCTTAACACAGAAGTGGAAGGGTAAATTTACAACACCTTCAGGGAAGTGTAGTCAACTGTTGTTAAATATGTGAAGAATAAGCATTTGTGCATTTTATGTATTATTCCTACTGGGCTTGGATTCATTAGGTGCCATTTCCTGTATTTAGCCAATGCCTCTCAGGTACGAAAATGCACATGACCACATGACGGAACACAAAATTTACATAATGTTCAAATTTTTTCCTAATATATCTATAGTGTTGGAACAAATTTGTCACATTCAAGTGTGGCGGGACTAACTGTACTTTCTTTTCCTTTTTTCTGTACCTTTTTGTTTCTACATGGTTGTATTGTTTTCTTTTCAGAAGTTATTTCTCCCCAATTGCTGGGCTGTTCTCCCTACAAAAGTTCCCCAATGCAGCTAGGTTAAGTTTACGTACTTGATTAACAAATAATAATTGTATTTACTAGTAAGCTAACAAGTTCATCACCTCATATACTTATCTTTTTTGTAGTAACAGTATTTAACATCTACTCTGTTAGCAAATTTGAAATATGCAATGCATTAATAACTGATAGTCACCATGCTGTATAATATGTCACTAGCACTTACCTGAAACTTCGAACTAGGATAAACATCTCCACTTGTCTCATAAACCCATCTCATCTCCTATTTACATCATTCTCTCTGCTTCATAAGTTTGACTTTTTGAGATTCTGCAAGTAAGTGAGATTATACTTTATTTGTCTTTCCGTAGCTAGCTTAGTTCACTTGGCATATTATCCTTCAGGATCATTTTTCATTGTCAAAAACGATAGTATTTTTTAAGGCTCAATACTATTCTGTTTGTATATATACTATATTTTCTTTATTCATCAGTTAATGATCACTTAGGTTGATTCCATATGTCAGCTATTGTGAATGGTGATGCTATGAATGTGGAAGTGCAGATGTCTTATTGACATATTGATTTTAATTCTTTGGTTGTAAGGTTAGAAGTAAGATTGCTAAATCATAGGTGAGTTCACTTTGTAGGTTTTTTTAGGAACCTTCATAGTTATTTCAATAATGGATAAATTAATTTACATTCCTTTTGAAAGTGTGCAAGGGTTCCCTTTTTTCCACTACTTGTCATTCTTGCCAACACTTGTTACCTTTTTACCTTTCACTAAGGGTCATTCTAAAAGGTATGAGAGGATATGTCATTGTGGCTTTAATTTGCATTTCCTTGATGATATGTGATATTAAGCATTTTTTTATGTATCTGCTAGCCATTTGTATATCTTTTTTGAGAAATGGGTCATTTGTCTACTTCTAAATCTGGTTATTTATCTATTTGTTTACTTTTGAGTCATTTGATTGCCTTATATATTTTAAAAAGTAGTCCAGGGGTCACATTTTTTAAAACAGTTCCCCTAATTTCTAGGCAATACTTTCAAATGTGGAAATTTTAGTCTCAAAAATATTTAACCACTGTAAGCTTCCTTCCTGTAGATTGTACGGACACATAATTTTTATATTGCTAACAATAAAGAAATCAAGAGTTTTCTATGCTGTTTCTTGTAGCTAAGTCAAAATCACTACAGGAATAAGTTCTTTTAAAAATAATTCCATATATTCTTCTTCTGAGTGTTGTTTATAGTAAAGCTTAAAAATTACCAAAGGAGTCAGAATAAAAATGAGAAACTACACAGTTCCTGTATCCCTACCTATTAATTGAAAATAATATGCATAATATTAGTATGTGTATTACTAAAGTATATATAATTAAAAAATAATAACTCACTATTGATAAAGATAAAAACAATTTGTACTGTTTTAAATATTATGTTTTCTATACATACGCACTTTCATTTCCATGTATATATACATAAGTAGACATATAAATTGTGTGCATACTTATATACATATATAAGCTTGCAATTCATATAAATTTGTTAACTTGTTTGAAAAGAACCAATATCTTCCTATTTGAATGTCAACAGTTTTCTCAGAAACTTAATTTTTCTCCAAAACTAGTTCTTTTCAGAAGTTATTTCTCATTATGAAAGCTATATCAGACTAATTTAAATTTATAAATTTTAAAGCAAGGATAATGAAAACTCTAAGTGCCATTTCTTTGTCTATTCCTGCAGCGTTTGTCCAATGGTTCCATAGACTCAACTGATGACACTAGTCAGATAGTGGAACTACAAGAACTACTCGAAAAGCAAAACTATGAAATGGTTCAAATGAAAGAACGCTTAGCTGCTCTTTCATCACGAGTGGGAGAAGTGGAACAGGAAGCAGAGACAGCAAGAAAAGATCTCATTAAAACAGAAGAAATGAATACTAAATATCAAAGGGATATTCGGGAGGTGAGTGATTCACAACACTTTTAGTTTTGCTTCCTAATTACTACTTCTGAGAAACTCTCCATAATTTCCCCTAATGGCATGTAGTCCTTACTTCTCAAAAGACTGTAATTTTGGATGCATTATATTAGTTATGTACTAGTAGTTCACTAAGGCAAAAATAATCTTCTTCCCCAAACCTTTAAATATGCATAGAAGGAAATTTTTGGTACAAAGTTTCATATAATAAAGACTTTCTGAAGCTCTTAACACATTTTGTAAAATTCAAACTTTTAGTTTTAAATAACCATGCATGTGGGTATGAATCATGCCTTTCTATAATCTTAGCATGTAGGAATACTCAAAGACATTACTTTAAGTTGTCATTGTTATTTTGGTATTGTCTGTGAATATAAATGTATATGTGTGACTATGCTATAAATATGTATAGCATAACCTTTCCTTTTTTAGATATTCAGTACTCGCTAGACTTAACATCACTTTACCTACTGAAAAAAAAGTAATTTAAAGTTACTATAAAAGATATAAGGAGATGTTGTATTTGTACCACTGTCAAATCATCTTATCTACTTAGGTAAAAGAATATTTTTACTTTCTCATTCACAATAAGATTTACAATTATTTCCATGTATGAAATTTTAGTTTGTTATTTTCACCATTTCCATTTTAAATATTCTTTTAAATCATGTATTTTTTGTTTTTACATTGCTTGTATAAAATTAGTTGTTAATATATTTGACTCTATCCTGTGTATCCAATTGTTTTCTCATTCTCTCTTGGGCCATTATGTCATTCTTCTGCCTCCACTGTCCCATTAAAACCACTCTTGTTAAAGTTTTATTGACCTCTATGTTACTGAGTAGAGGGGTCAACTTTTGTTCCTTCAGAGCACTTGATCTACTAGCTGCTCTTCTCTCCAGGGAGCACTTTTTAACCTGACTAACGGTATGCAACCCTCTCTTGAATTTCCTCCAAAGTTACTTTCCACTCTCATCTCATGGTCCTTTACTGGACCATTTCCCCTCCCCTTTCTCCAAGTGCCTTCCTTTCTCATCCACTTTTCCTTCCTAATAATTTGACGCAGTCTCATGGGTCTCAAACCACCCACAGCCTCATGAATGGTCATTTATACCTTCAGATCATCCTCTCCTGATTTCCAGAAGCTTATATCTAAATCTCTAAGAGATATCTCAAAATTGTTGTATTCAAGATTACTGCCTTACTATTTTCCCACAGAGTTAACTCTCTTGGGGTGTAACACATCCATTATTATTGTCGCAGGGGCCATAAATCTTGGAGCTGTCTTCGGTACCTCTGTTCACTCACATTATTTGATTCAGCAGTAAGTCCTATTATTTCCAAATTCAAAGTAAAGCTATAGTATAGTATTGTATACTATAATACAGTATACAATATTCACTGCTCTTCTTATTTCTCACAGTTGTCATCTCCAACTGGATTCTTACAAAAGTCCACTGACTGGCATTGCTGTTTTTGTCTTTGGCTCACCTCAGTCTATACTCAACACAACAGCCTAAGAATCAGCTCTCATTATTTTTGTACTTACACTGTTTAATGGTTTCCTATTGTGTGTACAATGATATCAAAGCCATTGAAGTGGTCTGAAAGAAATATACAATGTCATCCTAGCCCATTTGGCTTGTTTAAGGTGGCCTCTTATGCTATTTTGCTGCATTTTCTCATCCTTCTGCCTTTTGCTCCAAAGTTGTATTCTCAAGGAAGTGTTCCCTCACTTTGGTATTTACACTATATATGCTCCCCTCCCTTTTATTTCCCATTGATTTATTTCACAGTACTCTTGTTACCTGACAAAATACACAAGATGTAATTGAAAAATAGAAGGAATGTTTAAAATTTTTTAAATTACAAAAAAAAAACCACATCGCTACTAATCCCTCTTAATAATCCCCTTGCTTTGAACAGAGTTATCCCTTTTTTCTTGCCATTTTCTGAAGCAGTTCTGGGAAACTTCTTTCAAGAATTTCTTTATGAGGTATGATAAAAATGCAATTAATGCTACTGCCAAGTGCCATCCAACAGAAAGACAGGCCCCCTAAAACATTATAATGTGTTCCCATCCACCTTATTCACCAGATATGTCACTCTGTGACTTCTGTCTCTTTCCCAAATTCAAAATGACCATGAAAGGTAAATATTTTGAATAGATTCAGAAAATTAGGGCAGCCATGACTAAAGGCCTATAACAACTAAAGACATATAACAGGACTTTCAGAACTGCTTCAGAGGTGACGATGATAATGGTATAAGTCTTACCAAAGTGAGAGGGATAATTTCAGGTGGGGTTCATGGCATACTTTTTATTATAATAATGTTTCAAATGTAAATGTTCACTGTAGTTTTGATCATACACACTAAGTATATTTTACTGATTTATTTGTGTATCATCTGGCTTTTTCCCCAATTATATATAAAAATACACAAGGGCTGGGATTTTTTTTACTTTGTTTTTTTTTTGTTTCTGGTCCCTTCTAATTACCTACACAGCTATTGGGCATGTAATAAACACTCAAAAAATCTTTGTGAAGAAATAGCTATTTTAAGTGTTTACAATAAATAAATGTCAAAATGCAAGGACAGTATTCAAATACATAATAAAATGGTGCTTACTATCTTAGAAAAAAATATATACAGTGGTAGATTCACTGCCACTTAGATAATGACACAATTTTAGGTGAATTAGTAGTTCATGGATACATCTCATTTTTCTACTCCTTCCCACAGCCCAACCTTAGAGAATTTATAATGTAGATGGTGTTTAACTCTTCTCCTGTTAAAGAATCAATAGACTTTCTTACTTTTAAATCATCAGTTCATTTCTTAAACTTGCAGGTTCTGTATTTCTTCATTCTCCTTGTTCCAGAGAGTTATCTGGTTTCCTTTTATTGTAAACACTCATATAGTCTATTTCTGCTTATCTAATCTACTATGACTTACAGGTAATGTCTAACACTATTTATAGCCCCCCTTTTCCTATTTCTTATTTAAAAATAACTGGTTGATATTAATAGTCTCTGGGTGTAGGCAACAAAAAGTCTAGTCAGAGGGAAAATTTCAATCCTCTGATGCCAGGTGTTCTCTTATTACAAAACCATGCTACTGAGTAAGATGTTCTTCTTTTACAGGGAATTCTTGAAAATTAACATTGTTTTTAACTCGAAAATTTCTTGATAGTCATGCTTTAGAAGAGTCTGTAAAAAGGGAATAACTCTCATCATACTCCTTTGAGGAGAGGTTGCAACTACAAATGTTTTCAGAGCCAGGCCCTCAATCTGAATGCATGAAGTGCCAGGTGCAAGGTAGTAGGGAGTGGCAGAATTCATAAGACCTGTGAAGAGAGCCTACACCCTGCACTCAGCCTGTTGTTCTGGGTCCATCATGACTTTGCATGTTCTCTCTCTCTCTCTCTCTCTCTGCCACAAATACTTTGCAGTATATATAAATATACTGCAAATACATATAATATATACTGCAAATATCTATAATATACACTGCATATATAATATATTGGATATACAATATACACTCCATAGATATGTGTAGCATATATATAATACACACTGGATATATATATA